ATGGGTCAGACACGACTTCGCAACTAACAACAATTAAAATAAATTGAAAATCAGGCTTGTCAGATGCTACATCTTTTCTATCCTGCTCTACGGAGTGGAGAGTTGGCCACTTGAAGAGACTAGAAGCATTTGAAATGTGGATTTACAGGTGGCTATTTTGTATACGTTGGGTTGACAAAATCAGGAATGAGGAGGTGATAAGCTGCCTGGGAAAGCCAAGGGAAACCATCAAAACCATAAAAAAAGTGGAAGTTAGACTATTTTGGACATGTAATGCCACACCCAGAAAAATATGGCATACTTCACTTAATTTTCCAAGGAAAGATTGAAGGCAAACGAGGTCCAGGCAGAAGAAGAATTATGGCTTCAAAATCTAAGGGACTGGTTTGGACAAAGCTCAGCAACACTTTTTTGTGCAGCTATTGATAAAAATAGGATCGCCAACATGCTTGCCAACATCCGATGACAGATATGGCATAAGAAGAAGATTAAAATCAATTGACTAAAATTAGCTATTTTACTTTTAGTGAGCTTAACTCTTAACAGAATGAAGTTTGCATCCTACCCAAAACAATTCCTTCATTCTTCTAGGCAAGTTAGATTAAATCATGAGAAAATGAAGGCACAAATATTTATCTGTGGCAAAAACATATCCTTCAGAGGTGGTATGAAGCAGGTTCTGACCAGTTCTGGAGAACCGGTAGCGGAAATTTTGAGTAGTTCAGAGAACCGGAAAATACCATCTCTGACTGGCCCTGCCTCCATCTATTCTCTGCCTCCCGAGTCCCAGCTGATCAGGAGGGAATGGGGACTTTGCAGTAACCTTCCCTGGAGTGGGGAGGGAATGGAAATTTTACAATATCCTTCCCCTGACACGCCCACCAAGCCACGCCCACCAAGTCACGTCTACAGAACCGGTAGAAAAAAAAGTTGAATCCCACCACTGATATCCTTGGCAGTTTTTTTTCTAAACTCGCTGCAAACAAATTGAAAAGATGACATATGAGCAAAAGGGCATTGGCACATATCAGATTTACAGTTTCCTAAGCCAATAATTTCAGAAGGAAAAAAATAGAGCTTTTATTCCCAAATTCTTTATCTTGTTTCATCTGAATTCAATTTTCTAGATATTTATCCATGTTTTATTTCCTACTTTGCAATTCTGACATCTTATTAGAAAAGCAATCTGATCAAGAAGAAAAACTGAAATTGAAGGCATATTTGCACTGTCAGTTGCCTCATTAGAAATCTAGAGTACTAACCATTTTTTGAAGGCAAGATAATGATCTCTTCTGCTTACCGCTAGCCCATAAATACAATTTCTACCTAGGTTTCCTTGCTCTAATTTCAACACAGCATTTTCCAGTTTGAGTTGACTCAAAGATGGCTGCTTGATTTGACTGCTGCACTTAACTTTGATCTAATGCAGTGTTTTTCAACTTTGGCAACTTTAAGATGTGCGGATTTCAATTCCCAGAATTTTGAGAGCTAACATCCATACAGTTGCCAAGAATGAAACACACTTCTCTTTTAGAGAAGCCCTGCACTTTGGTTGGCTATCACACACAGTGGCGGAAGAGCCCCTATCCTGGTCAGAGGGTTACCAATATCCACTCTGTAGTAATTGCTGCAGCTATGTAATTGCTGCAAAATAGGACTGTGGTTATAGCCAGGGGTGGGCTTCAGAATTTTTAGCAAGGCGTGGCCATGGTGGGCATGGCCTAGTTGGCCTCCTGCACCATGGTGGGGGGGCGTTTTTGCCCTCCACAGGTTTTGGAGGCTTTTCTCAAACCTCCGAGAGGGTAAAAACGGCCTCCCCAGGCTCTGGAGGCCCTCTGTGGGAAACAGGCCCATTTCCGGCCTTCCTGAACGTCTGATAGGTTCGTTTTTCACCCTCCCTAAGTCTCCGGGCATGCCTTGCACTTATCTGCATCCAAAGAAGGCCGTGTGGGGATTCCTGAAAGGGGCGGGGGCAGAGTAGGCGAGGCCAGTCAGGAGTGGGATTTGGGGGTGCACAGAATCTTAGCTAGAGGTTCTCCTGAACCCCTGCAAATCCCCAACAGTCCACCCCTGCTTGTAATGTCAACCACAGCTTCTGCATTTGCCTATATGCAGAAAGTCACTGGTTCAAAACTTAGCATTTTTTTAAAAATCCACTTAAAATATCCATTCCCTGCTGGCTTTTTTTTTAAAGTCCCCTACTGCAGAGGTCAGCAAACTGCGGCTCTGGAGCCGCATGTGGCTCTTTCCTCCCTCTGCTGCGGCTCTGTCACTGGTCGGCGCCACAATTTTGAGAGGAGCTTCCGGTGGGGAGGGAGAGAAGCACAGTGCGCCAGGAGAAGACTCTATGGCAAGGGGAGGGTTTTCCAGTTGTTTCCATAATTGATAGGGCTTTCAATTATGACAGGTAGAGGAAAAAGTACATCGCGCTAGGAGGAGACTCTATGATGGGGAAACTGAACTTCAGGTCAGCTCCAGAATTGAACAAGAGGCTTCCGGTTAGGATCGTTGCGGCTCCCGGTGTTCTCTTTTCTGTGGGAAACGGGTCCAAATGGCTCTTTGAGTGCCCTAGTGCATCATTGAAACACTGAACTTCCTTCCTTCCTCCCTCCCTCCCTCCCTTCCCCAAATAGCCAAATAAATGTTCCATAAAGTCATTGGCATCTCAGAGAAAGATGCTACATTAATAAACCTGTCTATTGGGGTTTTTTGTTCACTTAAGCAATAAAATGCATAACTTAGGGAAAGAAAAATAGTAACTAAAAAAAAATCTGCTGTGTTTTGGCCAATGACATTCTATATCCGGGCAAATGTTTTAACCACTATGCTACTGAGAGATACCCACAACAATGATAGAAACAGACATTTATCCATAAAACCTGGAAAAATGCTAGACAGAAATAATTTTGTTTGTTTGTTTTTTTTAAAAGATTGTTGTGCCACTTCGAAAAGGAAAAAACTATTTGCAGTTATTTTTCTGGCATGGAAAATTGAGAAGGCCAGCAGGAGGGGCGCTATTTGTGGGAGGATGTGCCTGTTGTCATCAGCAAATTATTGCCAAAGTCAAATGATTTTGTTAAATCAGTTTAGAATTCAACCAATATCAGAATAGGACAGGGGCAGGTTAAGAGAACTATGAGGATATGCTTAAAGTCAGGAAAATACAAATGACGAATTGGGAAATTTAAATTGGACAGCATCCATATATTGATCTATTCTGTTAATTATTTATTTAAAAGATCACATACACGTTATATGAAACCTCTTCATCAAATGTCTTGAATGTACACACTGGAGACCCTTCCCCCCTCCTTATATTTCTTCGTCTATAACAACTAAAGGATATACAACATATTACAATTATGCCCAGAAATAGCAAAGGACCGCCCTGTGGTAGCTGAAGCAGCCAAAATGGGGCACGGGGGGACATGTGTTCCCCCCATACTTCATTTTGGCTGGCAGTGTGCCACAGGAGGCATCCGTCCCATCTCCCTAACCCCCCCCCCCCCATGACTGGCCTGCAGAGAAGTACAATACTGATCCGGCCATCAAAGAAATCCAGTTTGACACCCCTTCTAGATAAGATAATACAATTAAGTATGTGTCCTGTATGTTTTAATTGCTTTAAAATTTTTGGATTCTTCCCACTGATCAGTAGTAAGCCAAATACATAAAATCAATCAAATAAGTCACAACATGGGTACATGGAGACATTCTAACATTAGTGTTCCAGTGTCCCTCATATATGAGACCTTGCTTAAATTCAATATCAATGCCCAAGTTGGCTAAATTGCCATTTTTTAGTTTCTGAGATTGTCTTGAATGCTAATGGTTTCTTCTGAACTTTGCTGCTAATGGATAGAATTTGAAGTGTACCAAAAAGTTTACTGTATCATATGGCTGAATAACTCTTTCAGAACATATTTACAATTGTGTGCAATTAATAATTAGTTTTACCTTAAAATTCAAGTATGAATTGGATCCACCAATTAGCTCCCTCCCACTTTAGGATACATATAGTATCTCAAAGTTACTTGCGCTTGCTACTGATTTTTATTAAAAGACATCCCACAGTATGTTGGATATTTCAAGGCATGCTGTGCTTCCTCTAGTAGAGGACAGGTGAAAGGAGCCAAATGCTTCTGCTATCTTTCATAAGCTCCTTTGGGTACCAGAAGCAATTGCATTCTTCTGTCTTCAGACTCACTTTCCTTCACACTAATTTCACACCTGGCTAGGTTCTAGAAGGTGGATGATACATCTTAGCTTCCTAAGGAATTATGCCATCTCTCAAATAATCATTAAAGGAAAAAAAGGTATTTCAAAGGGAAAAGAAGAAATTGAAAGTGGCACACCTGATACTCCAAGAAAGTCATCAATGCTTGTAATGTCATCCACAGCTTCTGTGAGTACACGTATGTGATTCTCCCAGGTGGCTTTATACATTTCCATGTTGCTTTTTACCACCTGGCTTTTGGGCTTGGCCGCAAGAGCTACGGCGGCATTGACAACCTATGGAAAAATAAACAGACTAACATGTTGAAAAGATCCTAGGATCAGTCAGAATAGCACTTCATTTGATCAAAGCACCACATATAGAAGAAGTACACAATTATGCACATTGATTAAGGAAATATATATATATAGAAACAACTTTAAACTCCCAAAACAGAAACAATGCATTTTAATTTGCATGCAAAGTAAAAGTACAATATCATATATAATATCCTTCTCAGCAATTTAAACTTGAGTTATGGAGGATGGCAGGACATAGTGAGAAAATTTCAAGGTTCCTGAACCAAACAAGCTGGATACTGGATTGAAGCCCCCTGGCTTCACCATATTTGATAGCTTTCTCATGGAAAAAGAAGCTTTCTTTCATATTACAAGGATGACCGGAACATGACACTCTAACTACCTGCTCAGCAAGGAATCAAGTGACAGAAGGCATCCAAACAAAGCCTGGAATTAATGATAATCCTCATCTGGCTCAGCAGGTATCCATCTAACAGACAGCTTCCTGTTTCTCATTCACTTCCAGATATGGACGATTAGAACCCATTCTTTAAATAATCAGCATTGTAAATAATCTGATATTGTAAACACTACACTTGAATATCAGATAGCTCCCTACAATAGGTAGGTGGCTAGGTGTCTGTGTGCGTGTGTGTGTGTATGTGTGTGTGTGTGTGTGTGTATGTATGTACATGCATGTGTGTGTGATATGTATGTATGCATGTATGTAGCACAGATTATTCACCTACTAAGTCTACATAGTGAGTGAAGAAAATGTTTTCCTTAAAATAACATTAGCACTTAGATTTATATACTGCTTTATAGTACTTTATAGCCCTCTCTAAGCTGTTTACAGAGTCGGCCTATTGCCCCCAACAAACTGGGCCCTCATTTTACCCACCTCGGAAGGATGGAAGACTGAGTCAACCTTGAGCCTGGTGAGATTTGAACTGTCAGCTGAAGTAGCCTGCAGTACTGCACTCTAACCACTGGACCACCTTGGCTCTTATAATACTAAAATAATATTTTATTCTTCATAGATAAGAGTTTGAAGTAATGTATATTACTTCAAACTCTCTTGTTGTCATGACCTTTAACTGGGCAAAATGGTGAACCATAGTGTGATAATTTTTGAACCTCAAATGGCCTAACTTACAGAATGTGTCCAAAATCCAGGACCTGTTAAGTCTTGAGGACATGAAATGTGGGAGACTTCTAGCTGCTTCAGTGCTACTGGCTACTGCGGCAATAAGGTTATCTTCATTTTTGATGTTCCCTGCCAATTTCCCATCTAGTTTCACAATCTCTCATTTCCTCACCCAACCAGCAGCAGCCTCCTTACCTGCCTGCTGAAAAGAAGGGAGGGAAGGCGGGAGGGAGGGAGGGAGGGAGGAAGGAAGTGTTTCTGATGCTCTCAGCCAGCTTCTCACAAGGAAACTGGAGAAGCCAGCAGGAAGTCAGTAGTTGTTCCTGCTCCTACTGGTTTATTTTTCCCATCTGTGGTCATTCTGTTTCTCTGTTTAGGCAAGGAAATATCTCTGAAATGATGACCCAACAGGGCACGGATTGTCTAGTTCTTTATATAACTTGATCATAGATTTAAAAAATAAAAGAATTATATTTGGAAGCAATACAGTCATATCTGGCTACTCAGCTGCTTCAAAACTCATCAAATTCAGTATTTGGCATGTTTTGAAGCAGGAATCTTATCTCGGCACTCATCTTTCTCCTGGTAGTTGATGCGCAAGGAAGAACTTGCTGATGCCAGAGGCCTCATGATTCACTGTTTCTTATGACCAAAATAGTAGGTCTTGTGATAAATCATGTGGTTTTTTTTGATACCCATCAGTTTTAGTGTTTTTCACATCTTCTGGAATGAAATATTGACAAGTACTAAGGTACCACAGTACTTTTATAGGTTTGATTTGAGGTCTTTTGTCCTTCACACATTACAATGCTAAATTTCTCAATGCATAAACGATATGGAAGCAAGATTTAAATATATTTCATCCAAATGAAAAGTAGAATGAAAGGTTAAATAGCACACAAGTATGCATTACACATAGCCAGTTTCTAAAATTCTATAATCTAAACTCTTTTTGCCATTCAAGAAATTTAATTAACAAGACTGTGAGAATGAAGCCTTATTGGATAATAAAGCAACTGTAAGGGGATTGACGAGTACGCCAGGTTTAGCTGGAGGATAGCTGTATTTAAAATACTATAAAGAACCGTGATGGTGAACCTATGGCACGTAGAGCCATATCAGCGGGCATGCGAGCTGTTGTGTACGCTGGACTACTGATTTTCTGTTGGCCCACCCACACTGCCCTTCCCTTCCCAGGAGTCTCCAAGCATCCCAGTTAAGTACAGGGCTCACACAGAGGCTCTGGGAAGGCATTTTCAGCCTCTGGAAGGCCTCTGGAGGGGCGGGGGAGGCCGTTTCCCAACTTCCAGTGGGTCCATTTTTCACCCTCCCCAGGCTTCAAAACTATCTTGCAGCCCAGGGAGGACAAAACACGGACCTACCGGGACCAGGCTGATAAACAGGCTGATTCTGGGTTCTGGGGGAGGGGGAGACCGTTTTTGCCCTCCCTAGGCTCCAAGAAAGCTTCTGGAGCCTGGAGAGGGCAAGAAATGGGCCCACCGGAAGTCGGGAAACCGGCCGTTTGTGGCCTCCAGCCTCCAGTAAGCCATTCCGAGGCTCCTAAAAAGCCATGCGCATATGTGCAGGGCAGTGGGGTGTGTGTCATGTGCGCATAAGCAGGGGGCATGGCGCAGGGAGTGTGATTAAATTATTGGTGTGGGTATGCACGTGAAGTGGGAGTCCATTCTTGAACTTCCAGATTTCACGTTGGGTTGCCTCCGGAGGGCAAAAAACGACCAAAAAAGAAGGGCGAAGTCAGCTGGGCAGCATGCACATGTGTGCTGGAGCTGACAGGGCAACACCTCACGTGCCCTAACAAATGGCTCCATGTGCCACCAGTGGCATGCGTTCCATATGTTCACCATCATGAGTATAGGATATGTGCAGATCCATGCAGTGTGGCCTTTTGTTAAATATGGTTGGTCACACAGTCAGTCAATATTTAGACTGGATTTGGCATTTTTGTCTACCTACCTAGTTCCTACCCAGGACATGGATAGGCAGATATTATTAAATAATATTAAAATTATTGCTGGTTGCATAGTCAGCCAGATGTGAAGGGCTGGATAGGCAGAATTTGCTTGTTGGTGTTAGAGGTACATTGCAGATGTAAGCGGTTATAAGTAAAACTGTGACTGATATTATTATAGAACACTTGAAACTTAAATAAGTCAATTTAGGCACATTTCAATTAGAATAATTCCATTTTTATTTTATTTTTGCTCTTCAGAATTTCAACCTTTATTAATGTTCAAAACTTTTCCATTATCACTAAGGTATTTTACTCTAGATGGATATATGAAAAACACAACAGTTTCCAACACCCAGTAGCAAAAGCAACACTAGTGATTTTCATCAAAAAGAAAAAATAGATCAGAAAGTTTAAAATGTTACTACATATTGGAAGTGGCTGTAGTTTATCCCTCTGTCAGAAATGTGCTTGAGACAATATGTGAATATTTTATTTAGAAAAGGAATGCAGAATCACACTCTATCTTGACCATTGATTGATGGATGGATTGACAGATTGTGTACCAAATCAGTTCTTAGTGACCATAATAGATAGATTTTTCTCCAGCGTGATCTGGCCCTAGCCTGATTCTACAAATGTTCTAACACTGTACCCATTGCTAGTATAACCAACTCTTGCTGCTTGATCATCCTCATTTTCTCTTTTCTTCCATTTTTCCCAACCTTTTTTTTTTTTTAAAATGTTTTTAATATGCATTTTCCTTTATAATACATTACATTTTCAGTTTTACAATGACAGTCCATCTCTTTCCTTCTCCTTCCTTCCTTTCCCTTGCCTTCTCCCCTCTGCTTCCCTCTCTCTTTCCCTCTCCACCCTTCTTTCCTCCCTTTCCTCTT